CCAAAAGGATTTTGCGAATCGTGTAGAAATACTTTGCGCAGGTAACAAAAGGGGACAGAAGTTGCACTCCCTCCTTTGTTTGATTTTAAGTCAATACAAGTGAGACTTAAAACAAGAGGCACGATGTGTTGTTTCCTAATATGCCGAATTGGTTGTTCAAAGCTGCAAGAAAAACATCCTCTTATAGAGCTAACCACTATTGAGCAAAAACCAAAGTTGCATTGCAGCAAATGCTTTAACCATTTAGGAAAAGGTTTGTCCCACAAATGCTCTCAAATAATATTAAGGGAAAACACTCAATCTTTTGCAGTAAAAGATGCCAAATCATCCGAACAAATTGCATCGCGAGTTATTTCTAATAAAGAATTATCTCCGGAAGGAACTATTTTACTGGGTAAAGCATCCGGCGGGCCTCCACTAACAGTTACCCCTGGTAAATATTTATTCTTAAGTAATTTTAACATACATATTGAAATAAAGTCTTGATTATTAAGAAATAACACTAGATAGATTTTAAGAAATATATTTTTGACAAGTTTTTAATTTCTTTAAAAACGAATAATTTGAAAGTTTTACACAAACTTACTAAACAAAGTTTATTGTAACTATAAAATATGTATGTTTTGGTTTTAGGTCAAAGTAGTGCGCAGACACCATCAAGTGCTCCAAAACTGACCACTATAACCCTTGTAAATATGCAATTAAATACGGACCTATCAAACAACGGATTAAAGAAACTTGTTAGAACTGTAAACAAAACATCAAGCAGCAAGATGGTAGAGCGAAATTTCTACATGGATTTTATAAGACTAGGTCAACAATTGAGCGATATCTTCACGTGTACCAACTTAAAAATCACAGACGAAAAAACAGATTCTTGTAGAGTTTATGTAACTGCTCACTGCAATGATTTATCAAGTCTTATGAATCATGTTATTCAGTCCCGCAAAGTTTCTGGTCACTATTTTGTTAATCTCGGAATTGATGGTGGCAAAGGTTTTCTCAAGTCTTGGCTAAGGATTGTTAACATTGTGGTAAGGGATGAAACCAGCTCACCGCACCAACAACAACCTCTCACTCAAAGGACTGGTAGAGACACTGGAGTCAAGAGACAAATTATTGTTGGGGTTTCAGAAGATTTGCCAGAAATACACTCCAATATTGAACAAATCTGGTCACTGATTAATGCAAATGGAGTTAAACTAATTTTGGCTTGTAATATGAAAATTGCAAATATAATTTGTGGTCTTCAAACTCATTCAAGTATGCACCTGTTGTGACGTCAAATCCAATTGTCTTGCCATATCTGGAAACTTGCGAACACTGGGCTTAGTTAATTCAAGCTTTGAGTCTTTTCAGGAATCTGACGGGATTGTTGTTAATGCAAAGCTGTTTGGCAACGTCATTCGAAAGCCAATCATCTGCGGGCCTGTCAATGTTCTGATTTTGGAAATCATTCCACCAATAGAATTGCATCTCCTCTTAGGAGTTTTCAACAATCTTTTCAAAATCCTTAAAACTGCTTGAATAAAAGCTGTTAAGTGGCCAGCCGCCCTCCACATTCAACTGAGCCCGTATCACGGGGGCCAGTTTGAGGGAAATGAATGCAGGAAAGCTTCTTAAAAATGTGGATATGCTGCATCATCTTGCTTAGACAAACATGGTTTCCAATATTGCGTGCATAAATAAAGCATTCAAAAGCTTCAATTCAGTTGTCAAGGCTTGCTTTGGATCCATCCTTCAGCCGGATTTCGCTGAAAAAATTGAAAATTTGAAAAAGTGTTACCTAATGATTTATAAAATGGATTTAATAGTGATTGCTATACAATTGGGGTTTTTATTGATTTATCCAAAGCTTTCGACACAGTTAATTATGAAGTTCTTTTGAAAAAACTAAAAAACTATGGTGTTAAAAATCAAAGTTTATTTTGGTTTAAATCATACTTAACTAACAGAAAGCAATTTATACTTAAAGAATCAAAAGACTCAAAAAACAACTTAATAACTTGTGAAGTACCCAAAGGTTCTATTTTGGGACTATTATTGTTCTTACTTTATATAAATGATTTATATTTATCATCAAAAGTATTAAATACTATCTTATTTGCAGATGACACTAATTTGTTTTATTCTCACAAAGATATTACTGTTCTTTTTAAAATATATAACAAAGAATTAGATAAGATCAACGAGTGGTTTATAAGTAACCAACTATCATTAAATGTAGAGAAAACAAAATTTATCCTTTTCCATAAACCTAGTAAAGCCGAGAATATTCCTCTTAGACTACCCAATCTTTTAATCAATAATAAAATAATTAAAAGGGAATTGACTACGAACTTTCTGGAAGTGCTCTTAGATGAAAAATTGTCATGGAAATTTCATATTAAATATATTGAAGGTAAGGTCTCAAAAAATATTGCGAACAAAACCTTTTCTTAATAACGAGTCTTTAAAAAATTTATATTTTTCGTTTATACACAGCTATCTTTCATACTGTAACATTTCCTGGGATAGCACTAATCGCACTAAACTCAAAAAAATTTATAGTAAACAAAAACATACTTGCAAGATAGTATTTGGGGCAAATAGAAAAACACAATGCGAACCTCTTATACGTTAGCTTGGAGATTTAAATATTTATAAGCTTAATATTCATCAAGTAATGATATTTATGTTTAAAGCAAAACTTGGGTTTTCTCCAGTAATATTTCAATCCTACTTTAATGAAATCTCTCATAAATATCCAATCAAATTTTCAGTGAATAAATTTGTGGTTCCCATAAACCTTCTTAATTTAAGTTCGTACCAAATTCAATATCGGGAACCTTTAGTTTGGAAAAAATTTCTTCCAATCTTGATTTCCAATCTTTTTTGTAATATTTATCAACGGCAAAAAATAATTAAATAATTATATAAAAAAAAAAAAAAAAAAAATGATAACTGGTGCAAGCGTAACACCCAAAATTCACGCCGTCTTCTACCACATTAAGGATCTCATCAGTCACATAGGATCCCCTATAGTGAACAAACTTCTCATCAAGATTTTTATCAACATTGGTCATGGTATAAGCGAAATAATAATCATCCAGAGTACAAAGAAAGATTGTTGCGCTGCAAAATTGATCAAAACAGTAAACATCTTTAAAGAACATCATTTGAGTTATTAGAAATTAGGCTGCTGAAATTCATATTTTACGGCGTATAATGAAAATTTTCACGATCTTTAAAAGTAGTATTATAGAGTATTTGTATTAAAAGAGCACATTGAGCTATTTATTAATAATCTTTTGGTGGAGAAAATCAAAAAAACATTTCCTAAAATGTAATTAGATATTTGATGGTAATACACTGTAAAAAATAGGGTTTAAATAGTTTTCACTTCATTTTAAAAGTAAATGTATTTAAAGAGGTCGATACAAAATATTTTATAAGATCTACTTTTTTTTTGTTTTACTAACTGGTAGTCCTTTGACCAGGTTTTGCACTTTTTTTTTTGGCAGCAGTTTATACCTTTGGAAATGTTGGTATATTCAAGCGAAGCATACATGGCCGTCAACGCCAGGGAGGCTAGGGGATCATGTCCTTCTCTACTTTGTTTTTGCAAGGACCTTTTGTTTTAGAAAAATAGGCAATTATTTTAGAAATTATGGATTTTATTTTAGAAATTGAGGGGTTGACCCCCTCCACTTTGAAGGCCGTGTCGACACTATTAGCATAAGACTATTTAAATCACGCTTCAAGTAGCAAATCACTATTTTGGCCTATAAAATGAAAACTGTACATTTACCAATAAAATAATTATAACAAAAATTGTTAGTATTACATAGAAGAACACTCATGTAATCGTTATTTTAAAAATAGTGACCGAATTTCAAAGTAATCGGTAACGCTTTGACGTTTAAGTAGCAAAAAACTGACAAAACTTCAACTAAAATTGCAATAAATTCTACACCAGTCATCCAATCCAAGTTGAAATTTTGTCCAGAGTTTGGTGTGACTATTGGCTACATTTGCACCAATTATTATCAAATTATATTGAGTGGTTCAAATTCTCAAGTGTTTTTATTGGCGCACTATGAAGTCAAAATTTGATTTAATTTGAACATACAAATTAAATTATTTCCCGCGGACAAAATTAAATGATTTCAAAATTTGCATCACAGGGTAACTTGATGTGTACGCTAACTTTCCGTATAAGTGGCGTTCTTGGGACAGCTAGGTAGGCATTATAAGGATCCGTGCTAACTGTGTGGCACGAGCGAGAACTTGAGCTTGTTTTTACAGCAAAAGGTTATGGCGAAAGGTAACAACGAAAAGAAAACAAACTTTCTAGTTGGTGATTTTAGTATGAATTGTTTTGACTACAATGACGATAACAAAGTTAAATATTTTTATGATGAAATTTTTGAATCTGGTGCAATTCCTTTAATAAACCGTCCAACAAAAATAACAAAAAGTTCAGCAACTTTGCTGGATAATGTTATTTCTACAGACTTGTTCAACAGTGATATAAAATTGGGCATCTTAAAAACAGATATTTCTGACCACTTTCCTATTTTTCTAACCATAAACACTAACCATAAACACCAACCGCCTAAACAAAAATTAAATAAAGTTATAAATAAACGTTTTTATAAACCATCAAATATTGAGTCTTTCAAAAATTAGCTCTCATTATTACATTGGAAACACTTAAATTTTAATGAAAACGCAAACAACTGTTATGAAAAATTCGTTGAAACATTTACCTCTGTTTGCGAATCTAATTTCCAAATTGTTACAATTACATTAAAAATAAAACACTTTATTAATCCCAGGATTACTAAAGGATTCAAAAAATCATCCAAAACTAAACAAAAACTATACATAAAATATCTGAAAACAAAAACACCAGCTAGCAAAAAAAATTTACAAAGATTACAAAAATCTTTTCAAAAAATTTCAAAAAAATTAAAAAAAAACTTACTATTCAAAATTAATTAATGAAGTCAAAAATGACTCAAAAAGCACTTGGGAAGTATTGAAAAAAATTACTGGAAAACAAAAAACATGCTCATGCTCTTTGCCGCAAATGCTTAAGGTACTTCTATACAATTAGACTACGTTTTTCTTAAAACACATTAGTTACAAATATAGTTAGCATAAATTACAAATATAGGTCGAATGAAAACAATATGAAATGAAATTTTTTTTTTTTTTTTTTTAATCCTAATAAAAAAGTTGGTTTTAGTCCCAAAAAGAAGCTAAACCGTTTACACGATTATTTATCATAGGGTAACGGTTAAACTTTGAAAGTTGCATAGTTGTATTACAATAATGTAAACTACAATCTGTGCCACTTTCACGTTCAATATATCAAAACTTGCAAAAATATAGTCATTTTCATAAGAAATGTTGAATTTCACAGTTTTACTCGCCTACTCAAAACTTCATAAGTACAAATCTGAATAAGCGAGGCTCTTCATTGAAGGTCATTTTGTAACTATATTAGTAACGAATATTTGTGAAAAATTTCAGGAAGTTTTATAAAGTATTAGTGAAAATATTATGTAAACGGTATAACTAAAGCAACAAAAAACTTGTTCTGTGAAAAAACAGTTTTAAAAAACAGATAATATTTATTAACATAAAGCAAAACAGAATTAACTCATGGGATCCAGAACTATAAGGTTCGCATTCTTTAATGTCTTTTTTTTTTAAATAAACTCTTTTCTTAGACTTCTTTACTTTTTCCTGTCTTTTTAAAATAAGAAATGACTATTTACAATGAATTAAAGCTCTATAATGGCCACTTTTTAATGCATTTTTTTTCAAAAAAACTTTCACGTGGAATACTAAAACAATCAAAACATTCCAATACAATTAATACCATCATTGAAACTTATGATGGCAGAACACACACCAATTGTACTTTTCTGCTAGAATAAGTAGGTTTGGGACAGTGCACAGTGAAACGGCTCATACAATCTTGCTGGACAAAAGTCAATTCAAGAAATCAATTAGTAGATACTTCCATAATATTACTGAATACTCCCTAGATAAAAATTCAAAATATTAATTAGTGTACGCGTTTTTAAGTGTTAAATCATTACCGCTTAAGTGTCACTTAAAGATAAACATATTTTTGTAAAAAAATTAGCTGTAATTTTGCTGTGTAACAATAACGTATAACTAATTTATTGTAAATAATAACTAACTCTGCTGTGATGAATTTTACATTAGGAGGTATGTACTTTGTATTTTATAAACTTATTTAAAATAATTGCTATAGATGATATTCTGTAGCTTTGAAAAACTATGTTAAAAAAACTGCAATTTCTTTTTACGTTTTTTAATTTTCAAAGCGTATAACTAATTTTATCCAAATATATCCATGCTAATTTTTTTTTATATATTATAACCACAACAATATGGCGCCTAAATATAAAAATTTGGCTGCCCGTGTCTGCCCGTTTCATTTTTATTTAATTTTTTTCAGACCGAGTGTATTCTATTACAAAATTGGAGTTATTTGAAGAATGGCAAAAAGTTGTAAAGAAAGAACGAAGTTCTCTTTTGTGTGAATTTATTTTGAAAGACTATACTACTGAAAATGTTACTAGTGATTCAAAAAAAAAATACAGTTAAAAATGGCAAGCATATCCGCTAAATTTGCGCAAAAGTGGCATGCAGCCAATAAAAATATGGATCATTTTTTAAATAAAAATAAAAGTTGGTTAGAGGGCAATAATTTAGAATTTAAAATAAGTTTTTATCGGTCCTGTGCTTCTACAACATCTGAAGGAAGTCGGCCTCAAGGTCGGTCAAAGAAAAAGACATCTTTAAAAACCAAAAGACGTAGAGTTGAAAATTTATTGCAATCGTGGAGTGCCAATGAATTAACAACAGCTGCTGAAATAGCAAATTGTTTATTGGGTCAAAGAAACGTAGCTACTTCTATAAGAAAAAGTACAGAAACCTTAGAGCGAAGAAAATCTACAGATGTTATTTGTGGTATCAGACAGTTGAGTAGCGATGAGACACTTGCTTATTATGTAGATTTCAAGTGTACTAGTCACTCTTCTAAACAAACAAGAAAATGGTCAATGAAAGCAGGGCATGAAGTGTTTCCGTCTTACTTTAATTTGTGTAAATCCAAAAGGTTGTGTTACCCTCCAGAAGAATTTATTTTTATCTCAAAAGTACAATCTGAAATTAAACTTCAAGCCATATTGAACAAAACAGCTTAACGTTTAATTGAAACACTAAGTCAATTTCCAAAAAATGCATCCTCTTATTTGTCGCTTACATTAAAAAGCAAATAGGGAAAGTAACGGAAGTTCTGGCCACAATACCTATAAATAAAGATTTGAGAACTCCAATCCAATGATAATTTTCTGTTTGTGTTTGCGTTTGTTCCGTTGAAATTGAGTGATGACTCTAATACTATTATTTGGCAAAATCCTCGGCCATCGTCAACACTTTATTGCCGACCAATTAAATTCATATTTTCAAAAGAAACACTGGAATTTTCTGTAATAGAAACTGACAAAGTTTTAAAAGAAATATCTGAACTTCTTCCAACATTGTGTAATTTCTGTTACTTACAATGACAGACGGAAAAGTATGCAATGCTTTAACTGATACGCGCTCCACACAAAAATGTTATATTTGCGGTGCTACTTTAAAAATGATGAATGGTGAATTAAAAGGTATAATTAATAAAAAAGAAAATTACAATTTTCGGTTTTTCTACCTTGCATGCTTAGATAAGTATTTTTGCCTGCAACACATTTGCTACCATTTAGACATTAAAAAGTGGCAAGTTAGACGCAAAGAGGATAAATTTCGTTTTAGAAATTGTTGAAAAGAGATTAGGCAAAAGTTTCGAAAACAAATGGGACTTATTGTGGATAGACCGAAGCCTCATTATGACAATACAAATGATAGCAACACAGCTCGCAGATTTTTTTTAAACCCAGAAAAAAACGGGATTAGACGTTAAATTAACAGGATTAGACGTTAAATTAATTAAAAAATTTAGTGTTTTGTTAAGAACGCTATCTTCTGGCCATGACATTGATTGTGTCAAATTTGAAAAACTTTGTTCTGAAACATGGACTTTATATTAACATTTATATTCGTGGTATTACATGCTTGTTACAGTGCATAAAGTTTTATTGCATAGCACGGAAGTTATAAAGTTGTGTATTCTTCCGATTGGCCAGCTCTCAGAAGAATCTCTAGAAGCACGAAATAAAGATTGTAGGAGATTTTGAGAACATTACACTAGGAAAAAATCACGTATTTCTACAAATATGGATTTGCTGAATATGCTTTTAATAACATCTGACCCTGTTATCAATTCACTTAGAGAACTGCCTGCAAAAAGAAGCAAAATACCAGTAGAGGTTTTGAATTTGATTGTTCCGGCTTCAAGAATAGGAAATTGGAACTTGTCCGATGTATCAAATGATGAGTCATCTGACGATTCAAGTAATGAGTGCTTGGTGGATATAAACGACAAGTTTTTTGATAACTAAATATAAAATTTATTGTATAATATTATGTATCCTTGTTTCATAAATATATTTTTTCTTTTTTACATTAATTTTTTTATTATAACAGTGGTTTTTACAATGAGGGGGAATGGGGGGGGGTTGTGGGCGAGGGTTTTTTCCTCTATCCTGCGCAAAAAAAACTTCTGAGTTGTTAAAACCAAGGTGATTACTCAATAAAACAAGAAAATATTGTTTATTAAAACCATTCATGGCTAGAACAATGGAATTCGTGAACAAAATATTTTTGTCCAGCTAAATTGTATGAAACGATTCACTGTGCAGCGTGTCCAAATAGTGTTTAAAACTCATTCATATTTTGCGTTTGGTCATGGAGGCATTATTCTAGCGAAAGTATTGACCTAATTCCTGAAATAATTTTGTTTTTCAGTTATGCTAAATGCATAAAGAATACTTAAACTGTAAACAAATTGAGATGGAATCACACAAGAAATAACTTACGTTAGAGGAGTTATAATTCTATAACATGGTTGCTAAGGGCGTTGCTAAGAGTAAAAATCTATACCAACATTAAGATAAGTTGAAATAACCTCAATTTTCTTTTCTTTTTTTTTAATTTCGAAGACAAATTAAGATTTTGTTATAAGTTTTGATCTTAAAGCAGTTATAATAAAAAAACAGAAAATTTTAAGATTTTCGCCTTTTTAATTGTATAGAAGTACCTTAAAGTCGATAACAATAGCTTGTACGAAGCACAAATAATAGCTCATGAATTCAATAAATATTTCACTGAAATTGGATCGCCACGAACAATTAAATAATATATTTTTTTAAAATTTTCAGAGCATCTATCCATTAAGGTATTTTCCTGAAAGTTTAAAACTTGCCAGGGTTACCCCTATCCATAAAGAAGGCGACAGATCCAATATCAGTAATTATCGTCCCATCTCTGTCCTTTCTATATTTTCTAAAATTTTAGAAAAAATTATCTTCAACAGGGTATACAATTATATTAATTATAACAACTTACTTCATAACAATCAGTATGGTTTCAGAAAAGGGAGTTCAACTGAACATGCCATTATTCAACTTATAAATATCTCTGAATCTTTTGAAAAATCCTAATATACACTAGGTGTTTTAATTGATCTACCAAAAGCTTTTGATACGGTCGATCATGATATTTTAATTTAAAAAAATTAAACACGATGGTTTAAACAATAGAATCTTAAAATGGTTTGAAAGCTATTTAACAAATTGAAAACAACTTGTATATATTACCCCTGAGCATAACTTGTGGTGTTCCAGAAGCTTCTATTCTCAGACTACTACTATTTTTAATCTATGTAAACGACTTAAACAAAGCTTCCAAATCGGAAAGTATAATGTTCGCTAATGATAGTAATCTTTTCTTATCCCATACTGATATTTATGAACTCTTTCCAACAACAAACAAAGAACTCAATCACATTTCAAATTGGTTCAAAGCTAATAAATTAACTTTAAATATTAACAAAATAAAATTATCTTTCACTCCTGCGCAAAAAACGTTTTTTACCAAGTAATATCCCTCATATGTATATTGATGAAACGATAATAAAAAGAGATACTGTTATAAAATTCTTAGGTGTTTACCTTGATGAGAATATCTACCTTTATTATCTACCTATTATTATTATTTACCTTTTATTATAATCTACCTATAATTAAAACTAAGTTTACCTAAGTATATAGTTAAATTGAGATTGTACTGAAACTTATAGCTATGAATAAATGGATAAATATTTATTATTTGAGTTCGTATTGTATATTGCTTTATATTTTATACTGCTAGTATGTATAAAATTTCAGGTTTATTTTATTTTTTATTTATTATTTGAAAAAACAACAAAAAAAAAATTTATTATGATTTTTATAACACGGTTTTGTAAAGAATAAAAAAAAAAAAAATAAAAAAAAAAAATGAAATAAAATAAAAATAATAAATTATGTATAAATGTGTATGTGTATCTGTGTATGTATCTATTTATGTATGTATACTGGTATATATATATGGGTGTATATGTGCTGTTAGTATGGGTGTGTGTGTGTGTGTGCTTGCAGTCTATGTATATTCAAAAAAAAAAAAAAAAAAAATAGTGCTGTAACCTCTGGCGTAGGAAAAGCCAACTAAAACTGCTTGGCAATCGTTGGGCTGGATTAGGATTCGGTAATACCACCTATGATCGCTTGTATGGTAAAGATGCAAACACAATATATACTTAAAAAAAAAACTATATTAGAACAAGAGCTAATTATCAACAAGAATGTCCACACCACCCTGAGTTTATTTTCTACAATTTTAATGCAAGAAATGTTCAATTAAATTTTTTTTTTTAATGTATTCGATTTATATTAACAAAACACTATGACGTCATCAAACACATCAATAAATATATTGAAGAATATTAATTATTTTCAACTATTCTTTGCAACAGTTTATATTTATTTATTGAAACAGATCCAATTCAAAAGCGAATAAGCATTTACAAAAAATCAATAAAAATGAATTTCTGTAAAGCGTTTTGATTCCAGCGGTTCTCTACGACATGACCTCAAGGACTTCTTCAAGTTTCCGCATTCTTTATTCCTAATTTTTATTGTTATATTTATTGTTATATTTCTATTGTTAACGAAATCTTTATTGTAAATATTATTTATTTCTTTTTTATGTCTTACGTTTTATTCACATAAAGTTGTAATAGAAATTGTAATAATGATTGTAATAAAAAATTAAAAAAAAAAAAAAATATTACTTGGAGAATGAATATTGATCATATAAGCACCAAAATTTCCAAAAAAAATGGCATTTTATACAAAGCCCGAAATTATCTAAACAAAAAAAAAACGAAATTATCTAAACAAAAAAAAACCAACTCTATTATTCATTTACACATAATTATATAAATTATGCAATCATCGCCTGGGAAAGTACGGATAAAAGTAAATTACAACATCTTTATCGCGGTCAGAAACATGCAATCCGCGTAGTTAATTATACGGATCGCTTTTCACATTGAAAATATATTTTTGGTCATATGAAGGTTCTAGATGTTTATAAAAACATATTTAATTTCTTATGTTTTACTTTTATATGGAAAAACGATTTATCTTTATTTATTTTTAAAGACCTTTTTTCTTTATAACCAATAAATAAATACATATTAAGAAATAGTTTTTTAAACGAACATTTTTGTAGAACTAAGTTCAATCAATTTTGTATTGCATATCGTGCACCCCATCTTTGGAATAAAATTGTATTACCAAATTTCCTTTTATTACTCTTCCTGTTTTTAAAATTAAAATTTTAAAATTATATATATATATATATATATATATATATATATATTATATATATATATATATATATATATATATATATATATATATATATATATATATATCTATATGTTTTAAAAAAATATTTTTACTTTTTAAGGTTCCGATGATACGATCCTTATGATCTTCTTTCGGAAACCTAGTTTTATATTGTTAGTACGCTGAATTGTATCATTTACGTAATTGTATTACCACTTATGAATTATGTAACACGACTAACATTGTAAACCGAAAAAAAGAAAAAAATCCTATCAGTATTGTTATTCAACGCGCTAAATTTGCATAATTGCTGGATTTGCATATTTCAAAGGTTTTGAAATTAACCCGTTGTTCAAGCGAATAAATACGCCACAAAAAATTGAAGTCAGTCCAACAATTTTACGGATCGCTATTCGATGTACTTAAAGATGGTTTTTTATCTTTTCTTGTAGATTTCAACATTTAACTTGCCGTCGCATGAGAGCAAAATAAAATTTTCAAGTCATACGGTACGGATATCTGGTACGCATTTTACATCTATTTAAAAGCAATAATTGCCGGTATGATTTGGAAAATAACAAAAATTAGCTGCCCGGAGCTATAAAACAGTTCAGGTTATGTCTGTACCATACCTATCATTTTTATATTTATTTTTATATTGTCACTTTATTTCAATAATTTGTTATAAACGGAAAAAACTAAATGGTTTAAAAAACTTGGCGTGACATTTTTCTCGGTGTTTTTTGAAGTTTAAAATTTTTTATAAAGATCCACCCCCTCCCAACACGTTAATCGGCAGGTGAGAATAATTATTTTAATTAAAATTAATCAAGATTTAATTCAAGAGATTTTACCAAAATAATAAAATGCAAAACAAAAACATTTACTTATATAAGTATACGCACTTTTTGCAAAAAGAAATATTTTTACACATTTACTTACAAATTAACAAAATACAACAATAGTAAATTTTTTGTAAAGCTTTATCTTAAAAATACGTCATTCGATTGTTAATCTAAAAAATGTAATTTAAAAAAACAGTGACCCAAAATACGAGTCATGGTAGGTCTGTTCCAAACCAACCATTAATATACTTTTCATTTAAAGTCTATTTCAATAGATTTTAGTAAATGATAATATAGATTAAAAATAGTGTAGTTAATACCACAGCTTTGGTATAAACTCAATAGCTTAACCATTAAAACTATTATGTATAAAATAAAGATAATTTATTATAATTATGTATAAAATGTATAATGATGTATAAAATAAAATATAATATCAGTACTTTCAATAATGCTGACATGTCACATATCAATACTTTCAATAATCAATTTAAATACTACTTTACATTATTCAATTTGGTTTCAAGAAAGATAACTCAACTGAACATGTAATTATCCAATATGTACGTGAAATCTCCAAATCACTCAAAAAATCACAATATATTCAAAGAACTTTTATTGACCTATCAAAAGCTTTTGATAAGGTCGATCACCATATTTTGATTTATTGACCTATCAAAAGCTTTTAATAACGTCGATCACCATTTATAAACTCAAGTACTACAAAACAAAAAGTAAAACTTAAAATGGTGTAAAAGTTATCGATCTAACCGAAAACAATTTGTACAAATTAACAATGATTATCAACCCACTTTTTTTGATATAACCTGAGGAGTCACACAAGGTTTAATTCTTGGATCTCTCCTTTTTTTAATTTATATAAATGACTTACATAAAGCTTCAAAACTAACGAGCATTGTCTATACAGATGATACAAACTTATTCCTTTCTAACTATGATATCGCTTAACTTTTTAAAACAGTGAACGAAGAACTCAGACATATATCTAATTGTTTCAAGGGTAATAAATTAACCTTGAATACTAATTAAACAAAATGGGTTTAATTTCATTCGATTAAAAAAAAGCAATTTACCTCAAATCTTTATCGATCAAAAGGAAATAAAAAGAGATTTTGTTACAAAATATTTAGGTGTTTATCTTGATAAAAACATTACTTGCAATCACCATATTAATTATATAAGCGCAAAAATTTCTAAAAACATGCGGATCCCATATAAATCACGAATCTATCTCAATAAGAGTCTTAATCCAACTTTATAATTATTTAAATTATATCAATCAGTAAATATATTTTGAGAAATTTTTGTCAAACAAACTTTAATCAATTCTGTATTACCTATCGAGCGCCACTTTTTTGGAATAAAATTGTTTTGCCGAATTTTAATTTTAAAGTACCTATTACTTTTTGCTTTTTTTGAAAAAAAAAACTGAAAAATCTCATTCTTTTATTAGATAATATATTGAGTTTTTATTAGTAGTAAAAGTTAAAAATATATTTTGGTCTACTTTTTTTATTGTTTATATACATGTTTACCTTTAAAGAAATTTATTCCTACTTATTTTATTTATTGCTCTTATACTTTTTACTTTTTAATTTATATGTTAGATTACTCTATTATAAAATTTTGATAAGAAGATCTTCTTGATCTTTCTACAGACACAAATTATTCATTTTGCAATTTTGTAAGAGTTTATTTTTTTTAATCTTATCTCTGTTAAATGCTTATTTAAAGTTCTGATGAC